TTAATGATTCTATGATTCTATGTACACACTCTTTGTCTTTTTTGTTGTTTTTTTTTTAACAGCATCATTTTACTTTAAAGTTCCTGAAAACATTTCAGTAGGAGGAGAAGTTGGCAGAGTCAAAGTAGAAGATGTTGATGAACCACAACATAGAAATACGAAATACAGTTTTGTCAGAGGAAATTACAGGGACACCTTTGAAATTGTAGCAAATCCATTCACAAACGAAGGAATCATTAGGCCAAAGAAGGTACTTTTCCTGTAACAAAAATGATTATTTTGTTTTTCCATGTGTAACAAGAGTGTTTGATTCAGTTTGGGACTAGCAGCAGGGAAAAATGGAAATGCGTGGAAGTCAGCATGAAATGCGTTCATCCTGAAAACCCTGTTCTGTAAGCTCTGTGAGAAGAAGAGCTGGTGATTTACTAGTCCGTTTCAACTGCCAGTCCCGGGCAAATCTAGAATTACTGCAGAGTGCAATGGGGACTATGCCAGATATTCAGGTTACGCACTTCAGGCTCCTCTCAAACTTCAGATACTTGAATGCTTCAAAGAGTCAGTGATTTTAAGAGTTGAACCAACTGACCAAGTCAAAGAATTCTTCCCTTCTGCAGCCCAAGTGAAACCAAAGTAGAAAATGTGAACAAGTCCACCTGACCACTCTTCTAAAAGTGCTCTTTACAGTTTGGCACTTGCTCCAATCTGAGCCACAGCTCCCTTACTTTCCTCAGGGAGTTTTCAGAGCTTCCCCACTAATTCCTTATAACTTCTTAAGAGGGCCCAGACTCTCCAAAGCCTTTATTATTGGTTGCTCTTTGTTTTTTAATTCTCAGACCTACTTGATTTGTACCAAGGGACATTCCTGCGTTATGCAGAGCGCTGCCAAGCCAAGAGTTCATTGATTTCATTGACTTACAGTAAAAAAAAAGAGGAGGGAGGACTATAAATCACCTCCTGTAATCCTCAGATTGACAGGAATGTGTTTTTCACTTCCAAATGTCTCTCTGTAACTGCTAAGACTAGAAATGTCATTAAGAAGAAGAGAAAACTTCAAGGAAAAAAAAGTACCAAGTATTCCAAGACCAGCAGTAAAGCTTTCAGCTGTGGTCACACTAAGTGTAAGCACCTTTCCTTCACCAAATGCAGCCCTCCCCCTTTCCAGGACCTGAGGAATGCATTGCTTGCAACTTCTGCCCAGAGGAGGAGCAGTAAGAGACCACACACACACACACACTGGGCGATTTGGAATCAGCTCATATTTTAACATGCAGTGGGCAAAGTTCATTCCCCTGTTTTGTAACGTGCTTTTGGCCATGCACAAGTCATGATTTTAAATATGCAGCCATGTGAGATAAAATTTCAACTGCTAGATAAGCACTATCACTTCCATTTGCAATGTCTACTCAAAGAGAAAAAACAAGAGTCACTACAATTAACTACTGTGTATTTCACGGTGCTTTTATAATCTCAGGCGATAGTGCAAAGGGATCCAAACTTTGAAATGAGCGATAGCTTGGGCATTTTTTACTGCCCTAGCTCCTGGCCTTCCTTCCATTGTGTGATTCCTTTCCTAATCTCAGTCAATGGGAAAAACAAGGAAGCGGATGTCATTTATCACTAAATGCCCCAGCTATCAGTCAGTGCAGCTATGAAGTCTGCCTTGAATGACTTTAGAACAGAAAGCCTAGCCAAGAAGAGGAGGATCTGGTCCCCAATTTTTGAGAAAAAGAAGCTAAACTAGTTTTGGTAGCTACAGAATTATAAAAAGAAAATTATTTCAACCAAGAAATACTTGCTGAACTTAGAATACTGGATGAATCTGTTCAAAACCAGAAGTTGCTCAAGCCACTCTATGAAAGAGAAGTTCAGTTTGGAAATGCTCTACCAAGAGTCCAGCTACGACACAATTTGGTAATATTTCCAAACATGAATTAGAGAACACGGCTTAAATTTGCATAGCTAATGCAAGGTTTACTTAGACATCTCTAAAGGAAGAATATCTGTTTGTGTCTTTTTTCTAGCCCCTGGACTTCGAAAAAGTAGCAGAATACAGGTTTGACATTGAAGCAACAGATCCCACAGTTGATCTTCGCTATTTTAAATCCGGTGGCTCTAGGAGCATTTCAACAGTCACCATTGAAGTCACTGATGTTGATGAGCCTCCTGTCTTCACCAAACTACCATATGAATTTAAAGTAAGGGAAAATGACCCAGAAATAAGAACACTTGGTTCAGTTTGGGCACACGACCCTGATGCAGCTAAACGGAAAATCAGGTAACACAACACCAGCTTTAGTAATTCTATTTTAAAGCGGAGAATTCATTAATGATTCCAAGAATTTGACAAAGAACTGAGACTTTGGCCCTATTTTTCAGAATCTGTATGCCAAAAAAAAAAAAATCCAATTCGATTTTTCTGGCACTGCAGCCATGGATATATATGGTAACCAACAAATATGAACATAAATTACATTTACCCATGTAATTACCACATAAACCTACTGATAAAAGATTTGCACATTTACGGGAAAATGCATAATCCTGGATATCTTTACGTGGTTATAATTTATTGTTACTTTTTTTATTGTAATAACTCTCTCAAGCTTGTGCTTTGAAAAGAAAATAGACTTCTGAAACAGCAAAAGACAATAATCTGGAAACTTTTCCAATGGATATATTCCACTCTCACAGCTTGCATAATTTTAGGGAAATATTCTGAGACCGCCTGGTCAAGATATTAACATAATTTGTCACACAAGAACTCTCTGACCTTCCACTATGAAGAACTGAAGTGAAACAGTATTATCACCCTTGCATTGACATATCTCTTTTAAAACAAAAAACAGATTTATTCGACGAAGGGCTAGTCCTAATGGAGACTATATTAGGGTATCCGATACTGGAATTATTCAACTTCCCAAGCCCCTGGACAGAGAATTCAGTTCCTCATACAACATCACTGTAGCAGCTCAGGAAATCCTTGAAGATGGTAAGTGCTATCCTATCCACTTCCCTATTTCAGAGAAATCAGCGTACAACTTTACAGCAGGACTGTAGTTTATCAAAAAGGAAAGCTGCAAGGGTTTGCACAATAATCTTCCAAATCAAATTAGTATCTACAAATAGGTCAAATACAGTTTTAAGATTTGGCCCCTAGCTATTACGAAAATGAATTCAGTTTGTTACAAGGAATGAAAAGGGCATGAGGAGAGGAAGCAGCTTGGGGAACAGGGATAAGCCTGTGATTAGAGCAGAAACATCCCAGCCAGCTTCACCCACTTAGAGTTACAAAATCCCCCTCCTATGCTGCCGCCCAGGGAGCATTGCTACACAGGCATCCTCACATAGCTTCGCTTGGGTTCAGGAGGCAGGGCAGGCCAGGGAGCCAGTCCCAAATTGATTTGGGGGAGGCCAGCCTTTTCTGGAGGGTGAAAGATATTTAATAATATAGACATGGCCTGTTCTGTGCCTGTTGCCTTAATGCCAGAGAAGGATGCTGGATCCCATAGCCACACAGCGTGACAAATCAGGAAGTCATAAGCAATTGTCATTTTCTTCCTCATAGATCCCTGATGATTTAGCCCAATAGGGGAGTTTAAAGGAAAGTATCTGAATCTGTCAAAGGAAAAGTTTAAATTAATGATGGAGCTAGAAACCCTCCATATTCGTCATGCAGGAGGCACAGAGGTGGACACAAACAGTGGAAAGGGGGGGCTAGACAGCACTGAGATTCCAGACATCTCAGAGACCTGCACTGTTGTGGTTGTCATTTCAGGCCGTCTTTCTGACAGAGAATCACATGCCCAAGTTCATGTAATAGTTACTGATGAAAATGATAATGCTCCAGAACTTGTCTATCCTGAGGAACCCAGAGTGTGTGAAAATGCTGCACCAGGAAAGGTGAGACAGGAGGGAGAGTTTCTTCCTTAAACCTGAATTATCTACTTTGCAAGCTCAAGTGAAAGATGTCTTTTAATAAAAGTTAGTCTAAGTTTTCATAACCAAGCACCTGATCATTTCACTGATTTCCAAAATGTCAGTGGTCAGAAATCTCTTCAGGACTTTACACTGTCGAAATATTGACTTTTATCTGCTTATGCACATGGGCTGCACAGTTCCTCTCCCTCCAGGCTCTTAAGTATGCACGTGCGTTAGCAATTGAACCATGAAGTAACAGTCAAGCCTTGCAGAGCAATAATTAGCAATTAGTTTTATCACACAAATGTTCATACATGATACTGAGAATGAAACCATTCCAAAATACTAAAAGAAACATTGCTGCATATAACATTATTGTAGCATTCATCAAAGTGCAAGTATCTGCATGCACAAATAGTGTTAGTATGTGTGGTTTTAGATGTTTGGCCTCAGACACAAGTATTTAGCCCATACATGTAATGTTTGTTTAATAAAGAGACTTTGACTGGACTCTCTGATGGAATTGTTAGAACACACAAGGTATTATTTCACCTTTAATTTAATTTTTAAAATACCTTTGGGACATAATCATACACATTTTTTATATTTTATACATCTAATCTACCCCAGGTTGAGGTTTTCAAAAAGAAGCATGTCATTTAGGAGTGCCAGTCTCAATGACATTCAATGAATGAGAGTCATACTTCTAAGTAAGTTGAACACTTCAGAAGACAGTCATCTTAGGTATTTAAATGAGCCATATGTCTTTGAGCATAAGACTTTTTTTATGCTTTAATCACACAAGATTTCCTCTTTTGTTTCCCACCTGTGAATGAAGGGGCAAGACTGCTCCTTTTGAAGATGTACAAGGAAACTACTTGCCTTGAAAGAACTTGAAGAGGAACATCACAAGATATCTTTGTCCTGCCCTTTACTGAAGGGTTATACAGGATATATAGCTCAGCTCTAACTTAAATACTGTAAGCTGTTTCATCACTGGAGGCAATGAAAATTATGACCTCTTCCATCTTTGTAGGTAATCATCAGGATTTCAGCTACTGACAAGGATGAAATATCACCTAGAGGTTTCTTCAAATACTCCCTGGCCACAGAAGATAGCAACTTCTCCTTGGTTGAGAACTACGGTAGAGTATCCCTGCAATGCATTTTCTCAGCTAGCCAAAGTGAGACACTAGGACACAGGGGAGAAAAGCTGTAGCAATGACCTATGATTGGTCTAGCTGAGCTAAGTAACAATTTTTAAAGCTTTAACTTACTGAAAAAAAAAGTTGTTTGTTGCCACCCAAGTTTCACTGGGTTCCCTAAAGGCTGGCTCTGTCTGAGGGGAAGATGTACCAACTGACTGCTAATCTATAAGGAAAATCTGGTGGAGATTATCACTTAATTAGATGTCATTACTTCTTCCAGATAACACAGCTAATATCACTGTCAAATATGGACAGTTTAATCGTGAACTTGCCAAAATCCACTACCTGCCTGTCATCATCTCAGACAACGGTGATCCTGAGCTCAGCAGCACAAATACACTTGTTATCAGTGTCTGCAAGTGTAATGAAAAAGGCAACTTCACTTTTTGTGAGGAAAGAGCTAAACAAGTTGGAGTTAGTATACAAGCACTGGTGGCAATTTTTATCTGTATCTTCACAATCATTGGTAAGTATTTGACTTTTGTAATGTTCTCTGACTTAAAATGTGGGGATTGTTTTGTTTTGTTTTTTCTTAACTGAGATCTACAGAAGCATTGTGGCTATAAAATGGTCACAAAGGCAGAAATACTGTAACTATCTGATTCATCTCACTTGCTCTTTCTATTTGGCCTTTTAGAATAGTTTCAGCTACAAAGCTGTTCATTCTATTGGAAAGGCTGAGGCACTGGAAAGGTTATTGCATGTACGCATAATAGACTTGATTTGCTCTTACTAGGCTCACATGCAACTATAAAACAGGAAATTTGTGCTGGGGTGAGAACAATAGGATTCCTGTTTCCAAAGGATGATCTAGTCTGGAAACCCTTTAAACAGTACAGTGAACATATATACATAAATAAATCTGTAACAAATCAGCAGACCAGTACCTATTTGCTGTATTTATAATCTATCAGAGAAGGGGCAACATTTTTTCTTGCTTGAGAAGAGGCCTCCTTTGCAATTACCACATAAGTAGCATTTGATGCCTGGCATTAAAAGATTTACCAGTTCAAGACAGCAGTTGATTCAATGAACTTGTGACACTAAGCATTTGTACTTGTGATTCCTGCTCAAGAGTCAGTTGTACAGACTGAACTGTTTTGAGAACATACAAATCCTACAGTTAAACAGTATTTTAAATTTTTTTTTTTAAGAAATATGTGTTAAAAAAATTCACTCCAGAAAAAAAACACTTCAGACTGTGTTGCATATCTTAAATGCAATTTGTTTTACTTCCTCACTTCTCTATTTACACATCTAAGTTTTCTTTGCAGTAATCACATTGCTAATTCTTCTAAGAAAGAGACACAAGAAGGATTTGAGCGGTCTTGGGAGGAATGTGGCAGAGATTCATGAGCAGCTTGTCACTTATGATGAAGAAGGTGGTGGTGAAATGGATACCACCAGCTATGATGTATCTGTACTCAACTCTGTCCGCAAGAATGGTATAAAGCCGGAAGCAGTTCCCTCTCCATATGCACAAGTCCAAAAGCCTCCTGGAAATATAACTTCTGGTGCTGGAGAAATGGAAATGATGATTGAGGTTAAGAAGGATGAAGCCGACAATGACAGGGATTTGCTGCCATATGACACACTTCATATTTATGGCTACGAAGGTGCCGAGTCCATTGCAGAATCTCTTAGTTCTTTGGAATCAGGCTCCTCAGACTCAGATATCGATTATGACTTTCTAAATGACTGGGGACCGAGGTTTAAAATGTTAGCTGAGCTGTATGGATCAGAACCAAATGAAGATTTTGTGTATTAAGTTCAAATTAGCCATGAATTTTCTCCCTCCCACTACAGATAGACATCAAGAGCCTGCCAATGGCCAAAGAAGAACTCACAGCTCTTCACCCAAGCCGTACTAAGATTTCAAACAGACATGAAAAGAAACCTGACAGCAGTAGCGTTAAAAAGAAACACACAGATCATATATATTGACTTCCCCCAGCACTGCTATCCTTGCTAACATCCAGTTCTTTCCCCAAAGTTGCTGCTCGAGGACCTGCTCGAGTCTTCTAGGACACAACTCCTCTCCCTGTCCAGATAGACACTTCTCCCTAGAAAGTGGTTTTGTCCCCAGTTTCTCCTTCATTCCTCTCCTCCTGTACTGTTTTCATCAACATGCATTCAAGGTCACCATGGAACAGAGAGGTTCGGTGGCATTGGGAAGGAATGTTTTGAATAACCTTCTGTATCTCCAGCCAGCTGGTTTGCCTGGCCGTCTTGTAACATCTTTATTGATATTCCACGCTTATGCTTACCCAGCAGAGGAGAGGAGGAACATATGGTTTATCGCTTAATATTAGAAATTATTCCATCACTTTCAAAAAGAGACATGATTTTTCCTTCTTTTCAATCTATTAATTATTCTTGCTTTACAGTCTTCTACTACATACATGAGTTACTAAAGATAAAATTAGACAGGATTTTTAGATGCACAATCTGGTTTCATCTGTCATTTTTAACAGCCTGATGATGATTTCAGGCACCTCTCTGGCGTGCTAAAATTTGCTCTAGCTAGCAGCAAAATTGTTTTTTCTTTCTGTAAATAGGATCTCAGTGTTACTCAATGGAACATATCCTGCAGGGCAGGAAATGTGGAGATCAGGGGAATGTTAAGATCCAATACTGTAAATCTCTCTAGATGGCAACATAGGTCTCTTTAGATTTCTAAAGAGGTTGAATAGGTTTTTTATTCAATGTTATTAAAGCAACTGTATTTTTTCAGGGACAAACAAATGAAGGGCCTCATTACTGTGAAACTCTCTTGATTTTTTTCTAAGCAGGTACTGTAAAACGGGTATTTTCCACCTAGGAAAATATTGTAGACTTCCAAACCAGAATGCTACACACCCACACATTTGTCTGCATAAAAGAACCGCAAATACAAGTAAGGTTTTGGAGCTGCAACTACTGTGTCCCTGGTAAGCGTGTGTTTAGTTTCTCACCTGATGAAGAGCCACAGAATGAACAGAATGAAACTTCCCATGCGGGAAGTTACCCAGCCAAATACATTTTGTAAAAAGCGGGTCTCATATAGGACAATGGCCTGTCTCTGGCTTCTGGCAATGCAGATTCCCATTGCCTTCAACAGGAGCAGAGCCCTACCACACAGATACTCAATTTTGCAGAATCTGTGTTCGAGCTGTATGTATTAGTTTAGTTGATTTGATTATTTAAATTTGGTAGCTAACCAAATAACACTAAATCTTCTTTTTTCCTAAACCAGTATAGTGGAACCTCACAAATTTGCTTTTCACTTATTCATGTCATCTTTAATTTACACTCCCTTCCCCCAAAATGCTTTCTTGGCAGGAAATAGCAAGGCACTATAATATGGTCTCACATTAGCCCTCACTAGTGTAAAAAGTTGTCCAATACAATACTTAAGTGGACACTAATGCCTACTATCATCAATAATGCAATCACTCAAATATGAACTGAAGAAAAACTAAGTAGAATTCTGCCCATCAGTCAAATCAGCTTTGGATCACATCCTTTATAAAAGAAGTACATTTTGGGATGACAGCCTTGGTTTTATTTTTAATGTGTTCATTCTCTTCTGTTTTGCTTAATCCAGTCAACAGTGTATGCTACTGAGGTTCCACATGTTAGTATATTATAAAGAATGCTAACTAATAATACTTACAGTTTAAGGTTTTCATCAGTAACTAAGGTATTGGCTATCAACAGGTAAAGTTAGTTATGAAATTATTTAGTGCAGTAAGTAAAATACTTTGGTAAGCATCATCCAGATAGTATTACCTGTAATCACTATTTTTAAGCCTGTTTTATAAAGCTATTTTAAGGAACACTGTATCAATTTCCACTGTATAAAGATGTTTGCACTGTATAGTTTCTTTTTATATTCCTGTACTGTTTTGTTTTGTTGTTTTTTTTTTTTACTACATAAAAGCCAATCTCAAGTTTTGATTTTCTGTGCATTAATGAGTTTCACACAGAAGACAATACCAGGCTTTGTACCACAGTGAACTCAACCATAAAAACACTGGTATCTACACTCTAAATGAACTCAAACTAGACACAAATTCACCAAAGGACTTTCTGTAAAAGAAATTTTCTCACACTTTGGAAAGCTGTCAGTAAAGCTCCTGGGGTAAGGAAGATAAAAGACCCAACAGTGCAGTCTGGTTTCAGCAGCTGGTAAGGTTGAACCCTCTGACTTTGGAGGACTCGTGTCTGCCAGTGCTACAGGATGCATTCAGTTTCTGAGCAGATGTTTGGTATTTTAGCAGCCAGGCATCAGGGTGATTTTGAACCACCGTGTTTACTGAGATCCTGACCTTTTTTCCTACTAGAAAAGTACTCCTCTCCAATGGTAAAGGACATACTGCAGTAGAGAAAGTGCTAACACCCTGGCTCAGTACATACGACCCACTCGTGGGGGAACTACACATATGCCCACTACTTGAGTGGTCTGTCAGTGTCACCTCGACAGCAAAAAAGGATGACACCCCCAGCACCACCATCCCGGCCCCCGGCCTGCTATCTTCTTCTTCTCTGATCTGCTGCTACAGACATATGCAAGCAGGATTACTCTATAGCACACAAAAAGCTCCAGCTTTCTCACAGTCCAGGATTTACATAGGACATGACAGAACAGTATGCACCTGTAACAGAGAAAAAAAAAAAAAGACCCCTAAATTTGCAGCTTTAGATAGCACAGTTTCTTAACATTTCATTTTGCTACTAATAAGGACTATCCCAATATATTCCCAAGATTATTCTTGCGCTTTAAAAAAATCACATCAATTTTCCCCAGATATCGCACTTACAATTTACAAAGCCTGGAATAGAGCAAAAAAGTTCAATCCCTTCACTGCTAATTATCATGAGCAAACTCCAGATCAAACAAACTTTAGCACAAGTTGTATTAAAGACACAATAATGTGCTAATTATGTTATAATGAAATGCATTTTTCCACAGAAAGAATTTGATTAAACAGCTACTTGCAACTTGTAGCAGAGAGTCTCATAAAGGTTTTCATTATTCATTTAATTAATATGCATTTTAATCTCTTATCCCTAAAAATATATCATAAATTATTATTTTATTACATTCAGACGCAGAAGTTCATGCCATTTAATAAAGGTTTTTTACTCCCACCCCATTAGAAATTTTCATGAAATAATGACTTGTGATCAGAATCCTTGATACATATCAAAGCAGCAATGAAAAGCTGTTCGAATATGAACACCTGGCACACCACCGCACTTCCCAGACAGGTCAGGTGAGCTAAGGTCCCATTATCAAAACAAATTTCCACTGTTCAGAGAAAGAAAGAACAATTGTATCGGGTATTATCCGATTACAGTCCAATCCTACTGATACACAGTCATGAAGAATATAACAGCAAATCCAGTGAAAACAGAATGATTAGTTATAAAAGGGGAAAAAAAATCTCTTCTGAGTAGTTCTTCTTCAATTAGTGGGTTCTTCCCTTTTCTCCTTTCAGCAACAACGGTTTAGAATAGCATCAGAAGGGACCAGCCAACCTGGCAATCAGACCTGCTCAAGCACAGGTATTGTCATCCAGCCAGGACTAACTGTAGTGAGCAAGTCACATAAAGCCACACTGGTTTTTTCAGTTTAGAGTTCGGAGTACAGATCCACCTATATACATTTATTTTAAATGTTTTCACTCTGTATGTCACATGCAGGGGAAATGCTCATGGTGGTAGTAAACATGCAGATATACTATCCTATTTGGCTAGAAATAATAGTTATTTCCGTTATATTTCAGGTGGCACTAGGACAGAAAAAAAGAATAATCGCCATCTTTCCTGACCTATTCTCCCCTCCTACTTTTTTTTTTAATAAATGTTTCAAGTTTGAGGGAGTAAGAAAACTCTTGTGGTTTTACCTTCACATGCTTCCTGGAATGAAAGAAATAACCAAGGTGGTATCTTTCCCATTTAAGAAACTACCATAATTTTACTACAGCACAAGTCACCAAGTCTTATCAGGAACTGAATAAGAGTCTGATCAGATCAAAGTGGATGATTTAACCTAAATCTAATCCATAGAAAAAGCATGACAGAAAACAAAACAGCAAAGACACACTTTTAGTCTGCATCAGAAAAAGGAAAAGACAACAAAACCAGCAAAACTCTTTTATGAGCAATAAAAACCCATGGATCTTTGCTGACCTCTCCCAGCTTCCTGACTTTGTTCCTGCCTGACCTGAAAGAAAAGGGAAAAACCAGCATTTCCTTCCACTTATCCCCAGCGAGGGGCTGTCCCACCTGCTTTCCCACAAGACTCTCTTAATTCATTCTAGTTAACCCCTTCACCAATGCCACAATCAATCACAGTTTCTGCAATTCTTTCATTCCTCCTTAAAAAGGAACCCCTACTTGAAAGCCAGTGCTCCAAATGAAGTTACCAAAACAAGCAGAACAAAGAGTTCACCAGGCAAATACATCTAAAAAATAAGCCAAATAAGGTTTTCCAGAAAGTCAATAACAGCTGTTCTGCAAACGGTCCAAGGAGCTCTTCTGGCAGCCTCACTAGAGCTCAAGGCCTGACCTGCAACGCCCTCTACAAACCAGTACATTCGCAAATGGAAAGGTTCAAAAGGAGGCATGATGTAGCCATCTGCTGCTCTGACCTGCAGAAAACCTCCTACATTGCAGATATTTCTTGGGACAATGTCTAGCCACTACAAACTACTTTTCTGCAACTGGGGCAGTACAGAGAAAACAGAATGCAAATCCAAATGCCATAATTTTAAAATGTCTGTTCTGAACAGCTGTCCATGCTCTCCTCTCCCCATTTAAAGAGCAAACCTGAAGAACCTAAAAATGCCAAAAACCTGAAAAGAACCTGAAGCGCCAGATTTTACTGCTGTACTTACTGCACACAGTATGTCGCACACCACAGATGTATAAAACGCACGCTAGTGCAAGAGCAGCAAATCACAAGCGAATTTAGCATGAATTAATGCCGTCAGTACTGTGCCACTTCATAAACTGAACTAAGGAGAAATCAAACCTCCCGCTGCAGGGACCACCGGCTGCCACGGCCACAAGCGAACACCTGGTGGCACTCGATCCCAGCTCTCCGGCAAGGACCGCTT